AGAAAGATAAAATGAAAGAGAGTCACTTTAAATGTTCGAAAAAGAATGAGGAGTGTAATGTGAAGCATTTTACAGTAACATTCTGTGAAAATAGTGTCTTATATAAGAGTTTTTTTTTCTAACATTCATATGAGTACAAACAAGTGAAAAAATTTTTAATTAGTTTCTATGAGCTTAAGTATGTACTACTGTGTTACATTTAACCTCTTTTTCAAATGAAAGGTAAAAGCAAAAATCGTTAAATATAATTAATAGTTTCGACAAAAATTCGTTGTTTTGTTAATAAACATGAAACAGCAAGTTCATTAATGATAATTGAAAAATTATAAACTAGTATTATTAATTAAATTTAACAAATTAATATCAAAATTTCATTACCATTTATTGTTCTTATCCATTATTTTTGTCAATTAAATTAAATTTAATTTTTTTAGAGTTGAATTTAATGTTTTAAAAATTACATAAATGATTTTATTTGAGAATAATGAATTATAATAATATTACGGATTGATAATTAAATACATCCCTGTTATATACTTTGAAATGACTTTTCATGTTTCATTCAAGGGAAATATTTACTTTATAGGCCTGGGGCAGTTACGAGTACGGAAATATCAATGTAGTAATATAGTAGTCTAGGTCAAGAGTTTCTGTAACTAACGAAATTTCTGTTAAATCGTTCTGAAAATTACAAGGAAATTCCGCTTCAGTACTTACTGGAAAATACGACGAGTCGTCTGGGATTGAGAGTATGCGGTATGAATTGTTAGAGAAAGCAAAGATCACAGGGTTATGTTTTACAATTCTGAAATTGACACAATTTCTTTCAATTTATAGATGGAAAATTTTACATTTTATCTATAAAGACAATTTAACGATTCACTTTTAATATTTTCCTATGAAAAGATACTTTTTCAATTTTATTCAAGCACTAACGAGAGTCTCATGAGATTGAAAATTCTTTTTCTCGTTTAAAAATCCAGATAACGACTTAAATGAACGCTTGAATTCTTCATTAAAACCTTCTCTATAACTTTATACACATATTTAGAGGTCAATCTTGTTGAAATCTAACGTTATGAACTGGAAATGGCATCGTCAGATATAAAGTGATTACAGTTTGCCTCTTCAGCAGCGTAAATCATTTTATTTTTTTTCTTCTCTTTTCCAATAATTAATGTAATAAAATAGAACAACTTCACGTCAACTTGGCTTTTGTAGCTGCAACGAACAGAAATTGGTTATAAAAATGCTATTAAATTCAATTTAAGATTTTTATTATTCAGTTTTCATTAACACTGCTTGTTAATATTTTATTTTAATTCATTTCCAACTTTTAAAAAATCACATACCTTGTGTATAAATATTCTAAAATATACAAATAATTTATTTCAAGTATATGCTTCTATTTATTGTTTGTTTATAAAGAAATATATATTCGTCTTTACTTTTCCCTGCTAAATTCGAGGTTAACCCAGTTTCAACTATTTGTATTTATCATCCTAGTGTCTCTACACCATTTACTTGATCAAAGTCTATAACAATTTGTCTCACTTTAGATATCGTTTTGTTGATAAACTCTATTTCATAACAATCAAATAATTTACTCCTTCTTTAATGACTTAAATAAATATTCATTTAAATGTTATTTTAATTGATCTATATAAAAATATAAAAATAAAATGTGTAGTAACTTGGTGGTTAAAATTTTGATAAAAAAAGATATAAAAGAATGAAGAAAAAGACTCACATATTTTACAGTCCGAATTTTTCTTTTTCTATTTAGCGATTTTTTACTGGCACTATACCATGAGCATGATTTATGGCAACGATATTTGTGAATCTCCAGACATAACGTTCACCTCAGCCATTAAATCAGTGCTATGTTAAAGAGAACGAACCGAAAAGAGAAATGAGACAAGAAGAAAGAATGAAATGAAGGAGAATTATTGAGATCAAGAAAGCGGAACTTGGTGTGACTCGATTCTATTGTCCTCTGAATAATGTTTATGCAAATTCGGAAACACATGATGCAAATCTAAAGCATTACCATTATATACTGTACATTGCTTTACTGCTGTAGTTGATAAAAAAAAATTGCTGTAATTATTCATTTGTTTAGTCACAAATTTATTTGTTTTCATTTGTCATTATATTTACCATGAATTATTTGTTAATAATGTGTATATTTCTCGGTGGAGTGACTAACTATTTGCTTAGAGAACCAAGCTTAATTCAAAAGATCAATTGTACAAGTGTAATGTAAACATAACTCTCACATAAGTCTATGCAAGAAACTTCAAAGTGTCTGTCAAACCAAACATATAGAATTCTGTGACATCAGAAAGTCATTGAATATTACAGAAAGGTGAAGATAACATAAAAAGATTTTGTTTTGTGAATAGTTCTTTGGTCTTGGGTTATGAAATAAATATGTCCTCTTTTTGATGATGAAACAATGTTAATAGTGAATAGTTTAATTCATATATATGTTTTCAAGTTGAAAAAGTTGTTCATTTAATTATCAAATTGTTTTTAGTTTGTAATAGAAGGTTCAGCAAGTGATTTCAAAGTGTTTTGAAATTCAAATATTGAATGATAGGCAAAAAAATGTACGATCGTAAAAAATGTCAAATTTGCATAAAAATACTGTCGAGTATTTTACCTTGTTGGTTGAAACTTTCTCTATAAATCGTGTTTTTAAAATTTTCTCTTTTTTCTATGTAATAAATTATAATGTTCATTTGAAAAAATATTGAATTTTCTAGCATAAAATTCAATAAATTCTACTGTTCATTGGATTGTATCAATCAATTGATATTAATCTCAGTGATTCTTTTGACATTTATTGTTAGAAATAACTTTTTTGTTTGAGATTATTAATCATTATACGAAAAAATGTTGATAAATGACAAGTTCTGTATTTAAAAAAAAAGATGAGGTAACTTTACTCTAAAAGTCTATCAAGATTTGTATGATATGAATCGTTTGGCAATAGTCTTGTATGTAGAGATGTATAGCTAGTTTACTCAGAAAGCACAGTTGTTTGATGTTGTCGGATTAACGGAAGACAAGGGTGGTTACACACGTAGTTACATCAATGGTAGTCAACTTCTGTAGATCCTGTTGGTTCCAGTGAGTGATGTGAGAATATATTTGAATTGAAACAGTTGTTATATGCCTGTACCTCTGATTTGTATTTTTTTCTATGTATTTTTTCTCCAGAAAAATGAAAAAAATATTTTAATCAAACACAGTTCAATAGAAAAATATATGATCAAAGAAAATAATATTTATTTCATGTTAAAAAATTTTTTACATTGAATTAAAAGAAATTCAAAATGGGTAAATTAGAATGACAGTATGAGTTTTGAATAGATTGTGATGACATTATGGTATAATAATTCTAAACAACAGAAAGGTTCTTTGACATTAAATAGTTCTCTCATGAAAATGCCTCAGGTGTTACTCGTCTTTGAAAGGATTAAATTTCTAGTCTTATCTCAGAAGTGAAAAATTAAATGTTTAAACTTTGGGATTAGTTTAGATTTCATTTTTGAGAATAAAATTCAAAAATTATTACATCATTTTTATTAAATCATTTTTCATTACAAGATTATTTTCAAAATACAATAAATGAAGAAAAAAAAACAATTAGATTTATTATTAAAGGAATAAATTTTTTTTAATTATCATTTATATATACATGCTAATTTTGAATTAATAATTAAAAAAATATTTCTTACGAAAAAATATATTAATAGAGTAAAAAGGTTTAACTCGATGTAAACTTTTCAAGTTCCATCTGATTATAAAGTTTGAGTAGACAAGAGGTATGAAAATAAATTGAAATTAATAGAGACAATAAAATTATAAGTTATAATAAAATTATGAAATCTTTATGAAACAACAAAAGTCACTAAAATATTAATAACAAGCTCAATATAAAACTTTAAAAATAATAATCTGTAAAATACTATAATAAATGAGTATGATTATCTGTTTGGAAATTGAATTCCTAATGAGAGGGTGAATGAGTAGGAGTGGGTGGTGGACAATTGATCCTCCCACAGTGTTAATTATCGATGGAAGAGGTGCAAATTAGTATTGGTTGATGCTAGAATTTCTATACTAAATCTCGAATTACGTTTTGTACAACCTGACGAAAATTTCTAAATTTATGGCAATAATTATATTAATTTCCAAATCGAGAAGTTAATCAAGTCACTTGCCCAGAAGAGTCATAGTATTTATTTCATCATCTCCTCATTTCAATCTATCTATTATTTAATTCCCTCGAATTCACGATAATATTCAAATATTTCAAATTGCTCAGCATTACCGACATAATCATTTCAAATAGTTGCTTTATCTGATATGAATTATTTGATGGTTCTAATAGCTTATTTATTATTATTTTATATGATAAATTGATTCATTTATCGTCTTCCAATTATCTAATATTTTTTATCATAAATACAACTTATTCGAAAGTATGGTTTATTCTATTTTTCTGGCTTACCTTGAATTTTTTATTAGTAATGATCAAAGGATCAAAGTATTGATTACCAAATGCACGTTTCTTGAAAAAAATTACTTTGCTATATAATCTCCAGAATATCTTAGTGAAGTTTTATAATAGATTTAAAAAATATTTTTTATCATTTTTACATCCCCAGACATTATGAGATTATATTCGAGCACAATTCTTTAGTGTTTTTAATACTATTAAATAAAATTTTATTTTTCATCAAGCTAAAATACAGTTTCTCTCATATTATAGTAACTATACTCTTTCGTAAAGTGATAATGACGAGATGAAAGATGTTTAAGTAATATTTTATAGACATGATGTGTTAAAAATGTTTTAACTAATTTTTGAAAAATTTGTGGAGAAATAATGTGTGGAATTTTTCTTGAAAAAATAGCAATTAAAAATATTTATATGAATTTTTCTTTCATGTAAAACTCATCTTTTTTTTTATTTATTCAATCAACAGGTGCATCGTGAATGACCTGTGCTGTGATGGATGAAGTTATTATCGCTAGAGGCAATTGGTAAGTAAATTGAATTAAAATAGATTTTTCAACGTGAGCACAATATTTAAATTTTCTTTTTAATTTTAACGGTGATAAGAGTCTGAAAGTATAAGACATTATTAAGATGTTTTTTTATACTAGAAAAGTTTAAAAATGATTAATCCTAATCATGTGTTTAAAATATAACTCTGAATTCAAAATTCTAATTTTTATCAATTTTATGTTCAACTTACTTTTTAAAATATATCATAAAAATTTTTTATATAAAAAGAGCAATAGATAAAAATATTTATCATAGAATTTTATCAGATTTCTGGTAGTATATATGTCTGATAGTGATTGTAGATGGCTTCCTAGTGTTTCAAAATATGATCTGTATGCTACATTGTCACCTCGTGAAATGGATTTACAGTGAGACTGGTTACAAAAAATCTTTGAAAATTTTTAAGAGCTCTAGATAAAGTCGTGAATAAAAATCACATTCGATTTATATATAGACGTCATAATATATTGTTTTTTTTCATCCATAAAACATATTTAACTCAAGATAACTGAGAAATATATAAAAATATTTCATCCAAATCACAATACATTCAGACACCAGTTAAATTTCTTGGTAGCAACATTTCTTATCAATTATTTAATTTATTAAAGAAATATTCATTTTAGTTCATCAGAAACTTTAATATTTTTTCAAATAAAAGTGTATACTTTTATTCAAGCTGAAAACTGCAACAAAATTTTCCAGTTGGTAAAAGTTTCAGTTGGTAGGAGTTTCTTCTATTTCTCATGTTTTACGCAAAAGGTAAATCGACAGAGTGTATAGATGGGATGGGAAGTGAAATAGGGTAAAGAGACATTTAGTGTTTAAGAGTACAGATTTGAGTAAGAAGTAAGGAATGGAAGGGATAAAAATAGGAGGATGAAACTTTTCTTCTATCACTAGTGTCTCGTAAGTACAATCGTCATACATTTTCACTGGCTCATGTTTCTCTAAAGGACCGTGAAACATCCACAGGATAGCAGCATTAGCATTTCGATGTGGCCACTTGACTGTTACGAAGGTTTCTGAAGTGAAAAGCTGCTTCTACCCTTTCCCGTTGACGCACTTTATTCGCACATCTATTGTTCATCGTCAAGCGGTAAAATTCAATGAATAGAGTGAAGACTAGTAGCTTTATTGCTCTCTAACTGTTTCCTGCTTCACAGATTTTAGCATTAAATTTTTAATAGAAAGAAATTGTGATTTTTTGTTTTTAACTTACGTGGGGAAATTTTTGGATAAAAGTTACCTTTATTATTATGAGTAAACTGAGAATAAGTTAGAGCTTGAATAAAAATTACTTAATATTACTTCTAAAATTTTATTTAAATGAATTAATTAAAATTTTGAAACCAAATTGAAATTCAAAATGTCTTAATATGAATGCTTATTCTAATTATTTATTTAAATTGAATCATCAGTGTGGTTTGGTGGTCCGGAATAAACGTCATCTAATTAATAAATGAAGTTTGCTTGTCACCAGTTCTGAACAATTAGCAAATCAATTGCTGTGTTCACAACTGATACAACGTTTATTTTCGTAGGCCTTGTTCCCTTTGCTATCTAGAGAATCATGAATTCTTTAAACGAATCGGCATTCTCATGCATGTCTTCGCACTCCAAATCTCCACACAATCATCGTGGCTGACCAACACCTCTATCCTAGTAGAATACAAAATTAGTCTACTTTTGATTCATCACTGAATCAGTGTAGTCATCATTGACTTAATGTTAGACCAGAAATGGACTAGACTTGTTTCCTACTATTAGATTTGAATAGACTTTTCCAAAGTATCCGTTTCCATGCATGGGGATTCCTAGATTAACGCTATTATCAAGTCCTTTCCCACAACTGGATCATGATTGTACATACTAATCAATGTTGGTCCAGTCGTGAATGATGACTAGATAATAACATCAATCTCGGAATTCCTAATATGAATTAATTATCAATATAAATAATCATGCATATTGTGAAATTTTCATCTGTATACACTTAGTATTGATGAAGCTAATACTTACATCTAAAAGCTCATGAACTCATTGCAATCTTTAACTCCAAAAATAATTATAACTTGCTAGACCTCTTAAATTAGAGTACTTATTGTCTTGTTATTATTAAGCAGACATTGTTTAATAAATAAGTCAATATTTATATTTATACAAAACACTTATTGTTTATTTGGTCAACAACTTAATCTAGAACATTTTAGCAAAGTAAGAATGATAAAAAAAAGCATGGTGATGATGATGACATTACCTTTGTTCATAAAATTAACTAATAAGATTGAGAATTATATAAAATTACTTATACAACCTCTACAATAAAGTAATTCTATGAACGTGGGGATACAGGTTAATAATGAATTCGATTAAAGGCGAGAGAGTTTCGAGGTCGCGTGGGAGTAGAAAACCAGAAGCTAAGAGAGACAAAGAGAAGAGTATATTCCCGCTTGAGGTAAACCACGCGCACCACTCAACGATCACGCCCTAGCAATAACTAGTGCAGTTAATACTCGATCGAGAACAGATAATTCAATGAGGCAACCTATAATGTGTTGAAGATGTATACCCAACTTCATTTCCATCCGCTTCTCATAATAATATGCTCTTACCGCCAGTAACTTCATCTATATTTTGCAATATTAATGTTACCCTTGATCAAATTTCAAGTCTCTAATAACTCCAAGTCGACTACTGCTATTTTACTTTAAAAAGTCATTAATTATCTTGGTCTTTTACCTTTTTACATTCAATCATCATCATCATCATCATAATTATCCTCTTCTCAACCTACATTTTATTTTGTTATCAACAAAGACCAGCATCTCTTTTATTATCACGTAAATCTGTTGAATTTAATTCACAATTGATACCTATCTTCAGTGATAATCAAATCTGTGAAGGCTGTTGGTAAATAGTTTCAATCTGACACAATATACCTCTATAACAAAATTATTAAAGCAATCTTCTTTTTTTATGTTTCCATTTTCATTGTAACATTTTTTCTAATAATTTCTTTTCACAATTCTAGTCATCTTTTATTTATTTAAAAAGAAATATCTATATTTTCTAAAGGATTTTTTTTGTCTTTTATCAATCCAATACATCATTATGAAGACTAAAATGTCTATTAGTCGTGTAGTAGTAAACCACTTGCAACTTAGACATAAATTATTTTCTCAACAAACAAGCATCAATAATTTAGCCGAAAAACAACTAGGACAGGCGGTTGGAAGGATTTTTTTCCCATCTAAATTGTAAGTGTAGACTATCCGTAGCTTTTTGTTCTACAGTAGTAGGACCTTTATTTCGTCCGGCATTCCGTCGGCCAGTCACTTCAGAAGATGGATTACTACTTGCTGACCAGTAACGCGCACTTACCATGCTTCACTCTCCATAAAAGTTGACGTTTTTTTTTCAAATATCTTTTTTGTCTTTCATTTCCTCTCGTTTCACGAAAGCCTCGATTACTTTACTCGATAAAAATGTCAATGGGAGCTTTGGCATTAATCATTTAAATAATAGATTCGAGAGACTATAAAAATAAAGCAATAGTAGAGGTGGAAAATTAAATAAAAGATACTATAAATTTATGAAATTTATTTCTGCTGTTCGACAATAAATATTTTAAAATTTCCACGTTTGAGAAATTTTATTCAGCTTGTAAAAATAATTTATTGATTGTATCTTATTTATTTCATAAAATAAAGTTATATTATGCTTATCAAATGAAAGCTAAAATCATATTTAATAAATGAAAAGTGAAAAATCATTGGAAATAAATTTATCTTAGAGATATTAATACTAAACTTGGATAAGAATACTTCTTCTTGAATGGTGCATAATTTATAGTAAACTTAATCCTTTTAATCTGTCAAAGATCTCTATGTTAAATACAATACCATGTAGCTACATATAATTGTCGCATTAAATTTACTCAGTCTCTCTATATTCAGTCTCTTCTCTGCTCCTTCTCTCATTTCGTTCTCCAATCTTCATGCATCTTTTATATCCGACGTTTAGATTAGACTATTACTGCTAACATAGCAGTCTCCAATGATCGCTCTTACGATACTACTTGTCACACTGAAATTACAATGTATTTGTCGATATTAATGTCAAATTATCTATCAAGTTATTGATTTTGTAAAACAAGATACTCCATCAATTTATCTATTTTTTTTATTATTCTTATTTGTTGTGTATTTATTCACTTTATCTATCAAAAAAGCTCATTGTGGATTGTAATGATCAATTAAAAATAACTTGAATTTTGAAATAAAATTATTTTTAATTTTTGTCATGTAGAGTCAATGCACCAGTGAAAGAACGATTAAGGGTAGCAATGGTTTTATTAATTGCTATGAGTTCAATTATTATCTGGTTTATCAGTGAAATAGAACTATTCTATGAAGACACATACATGGAATGTGAAAAAGTAACTTGAATTTATCTGTCTTTGTTGATTAAAGTTGATTAAAACAATTTTGAAAGATAATTGAATAGCCTAGTGAGTAAACAACATGCTTAGAATATCTATATATTGCTTATATACACTGGTCATGTTGTTCATTCACTGGTGCATGGACTCTAAAATGACAATAAAAAATCGAGATATCAAGCAATAAGTGTTTTGAAGCTGAGAATGAAGTGGTGATGATTTAAAAATGAAGAACTCTTTTAAAACTGCTGATAAATATTTCAACTTCATTCTTTATTTATAAATATCTGTTATTATTTTTAATATATTAATGTTGATTATATTTTTTGTGTTTTAAGGATATAGTTTATCTATAATATTTTTCCATTGAAACTATAATAATGTAACAGAAATCTTTTCTACAAATACACCAGTAAAATCGTGAAAATGACCAAGTTTAAATAAACGTGGACTTGGAAGCAATTGGTTCACTCTAATAAAATCTTACAGCGAAGCTTATTGCAGCAAATTTTGTTCGATACTGAAGATATA